CTTCCCCTTAGTGGGCCTATTTTTATTTTCTTTGAATTCCTAATCAGTTACAAATTAATTATCATTTAATGATTAACCTGTCCGTGCTCTGTCTTTGCCCTGTCCTGTTTTTGTTTGGGGTCCCCCTGGGCTCCTTGCCATTGGTTCTTGTTACTGGGTCATGTGGGGGTTGCGTTCATTGAACGCCGCCTTTCCTTGTTGATCTTGTTTATCATATTTTATATAACCCAGAAAGATCATTGCACCTGATCAGTAGATGGCATCTAATAGTTTCGAAGTCCTTGGGTCAAAAATAAGGGTCACAGTGATGCTAAATGTAAAATTATTGAACATTCAATAAGTTGAATAAGTGGCACTTTTACAGGCTGGAAAAGTAGGGGCATCCTTCTCCTATAACACACGCCTAGTTAATAAGGGAAATTCAAATAAATGGTGTAATCTGACTTAGTAATCCGTGGCCACGACATAGTATCTCGTGGCCACGACTTAGCTATCTCGTGGCCACGACATACATTTAAAAGAAGATTTTTTCAAGTTTTTTCTCACATATAGTTAAAAACAATGACACACCTGGGGCAGCCAGGGCTTTTATTTGAACAATCTTTGTAGACACTTACTTGCAAATGTTTCATGCTTAATATCTAAACTCTAGCTATTTGGGTTTTTTTTAAAGAAGATTTTTAAGTTTTTGCTATACACTGTATGATATAAGGAAAATCAATGTCCCCCGGGGCGGGGCCAATTTTGATCCCAGGGCTTTTATTTGAACAAACTTTGTAGACACTCACTAGAAGATGCTTCATGCTTAATATCTAAACTCTAGCTATTTGAGTTTTTTCAAAGATTTTTAAGTTTTTGTTATACACATATAAGGAAAATGAATGACCCCCGGGGCGGGCCAATTTTGACCCCAGGGCTTTTATTTGAACAAACTTGGTAGACACTCACTAGAAGATGTTTCATGCTTAGTATCTAACCCTTAGCTATTTGGTTTCTCTTAATAAAAGAATTTTTAAGTTTTTGCTATATGCATATTGGGAAAATCAATGACCCCCTGGGGCGGGGCCAATTTTGACCCCAGGGCTTTTATTTGAACAAACTTGGTAGACACCCATTAGAAGATGTTTTATGCTAAATATTTAGCTCTAGCTTTTGGGGTTCTTTAAAAGAAGATTTTTTAAGTTTTTACAATATGCATATAGGGAAATTAATGACCCCCTGGGGCGGGGCCAATATTGACCCCAGGGCTTTTATTTGTACAAACTTTGTAAACACTCACTAGAAGATGTTTCATGTCAAATATCTAAGCTCTAGCTCTTTGGGATTTTTAGAAGAAGATATTTAAAGTTTTTTCTTTTGGTTGCCATGGCAACCAGAGTTCTGCATGGAATTAGTTTCTTTGAAACAATTTTCAAAGGTGACAACCAAAGGAACATTCCCCTGTGAAGTTTGGATGAAATTGGCTGTGTGTTGGTTTATGGAGGAAGATGTCCATTTAAAGTAAAAGTTTACGTGGGACGCCGGACGGACGGACGGACGCCGGACGAAAAAGTGTGATCACAAAACTACCCTGCCACTTGGTGACAGGTAGCTAATAAAAAACCACACACATGTAACATTAGGTGGCCAACCCGGTAAGAAATAAACTCTTAAGCATCAATTTAAAAATTGTAGTTTTGTTAAGAATCACAACTCTTATTCCTTTTCAAATTTAAGAAGTTTTAAAAAATACTTTAGCTTCATCTTCACTAAATAGTTCGTGTTTGTCAAGTTCTTCTTACGCAAACATGTAATGTAAGGAAATGCTCTAAAGTGAAAGACAGTTACGGGAATTTCATCTGTAATACAAAATTTCGTACCAAAATTCCTCCAAGAAATATTGGTAAACATACGAACATTAATGTAATTTATATACATAATTTGCTTTCTTAGAAAAATTTGGGAATTTCGAAATATATGTAAGAAATTTAGGTGACGATCTTGCCTCAAAGATGGGAAAGTGGTAATTTGGATTAAGTTTTTGGGTTAAATGATTTTGGATATCCACAAAATATAAAACAATATTGGTAAAAACAAAACAGTTTTACTAAATTATTGTTGTGTTCTGTTTGTGATCCTTACAAACATTTGACTGACCTGCCCAAAACATCAAAAACTGGAACAATGAAGTGCTGAATATACACAAAATGAAATCTTAAGTTCTAATTCTCTGAAAGAACATTGTATAATTACATGCAATTTGAAGAGAGGATGCAAATGTGGCTTTGATTTTAGACATATCCAAATTTAATCATATCCGAGTATATGAAACCTCTTTAAAATATGCATGTGGAACTGTAATTTTAAACAAATCCTCTGCAATATATGTCATTAATATATCATTAATGATGAAGTAAAAAAAAAGAAGAGTAAAAACTAAGTTGGATTTATATTTAGTTGTAACCTTTAACAGCATCGTCTTTATTTAAACAAAAATTGTCTGCAGTATTATTATTTTATTTGTTTGATTGGGTTTTACGTCACACCGACACAGTAATTTTTTTTGAAAAAAAGCAAAGTATCATCAAGGGAATGAATTTTTTGATTTCTATACTTATTGTTATAACCACGGTCACTTAAGAATGTCAATTTGAAAAGTATTGTGATTATGATGTATATATATTTTGTAAAGTTGCAAAAATATCTTTAAAGGAAAGATTTAGGCCTATTTTCTATAACAATGTTACGATGGCAACCAGAAACGATGGAAATTTCAATGTATTTTTAAAACATCACATTTTTTGTATTTATTTCATGAGATAACAAGGAAGTCTACGTGAAAAAAAAAACTCAATAATTTGGGCATTCAATCATAAGAATTAGACGCAATTTTAGGATGTAAATTTCAGCTGAATTTAATTATACCCCATATCCGTTTAAAAATCATAATGCGTCCATAAGAAAAATGTCAATTAACATTAAAATTGTTATAAAATGGATAAGAGTTAAGTTTGTACTCTTGCAAAAAAGTACAATATGGAAATAAAAAATTGAAAAATATGTTGTCATGGAAAAATGAAAATTTATATAAAATTTAATTTTTAGGTTTTTTTTAAATACATTTTCCATGATATTCTTTTCAAAAATATTTTATATTTCTCACGAAAAGTGGACAAAAACCAATTTATTTACGGTAAACATGTATTTTCTATCAAATTTATATGTGAAGAACAAAAGTAACTTTGAAATTCTTGAAAACATTGGCAAATTAATGATAATTACTGTTTTAGGAGGAATTTGGCGCCATCTTGGACGCCATGCTTGGATTTCTTGATTTTTCCGAACCATTTGGGTTAAAATGAAATATCGTTTCGTATTTTACGAACCCTTGTGAACATTTTGGTATATAAAACTTATTGTTCCTAGACATAGACTGGTTGACCCCCAAAATATGCATGATTTACTAGTTCATTTCCTACACTATTATTACAATGGAAAGTCACTGGCTGCCATGAGAAATCACATATAAGGAAAATCGATGTTACCCCGGGATCAATTTTGACTCCAAGGCTATAATTTGAATGTTATTTTTTGTTAAATTTCCCCGACTATGTTTCATGTCCTAAGATATAACCCTTGCAGTTTTCAGGGTGACTTTTGAGTTTTCAGGGAGATTTTTGAAGTATTTACGATAGAAGGAAAAGTCATGACCCTCTGGGGCCAACTTTGACCTAAGGCTATAATTTGAACAAACGGAGTACAGGTCTACTAGAAATCTTGTAGGAAAAGCTTTAGCATTTGTAGTGAGAGAAGAAAGGGTTTTAAATTTCTTTACTATGACATTGTTGTTTGTTCTATATACATATAAAGAAAAATCAATGACCCCCCACTGGGGTGAGACCAATTTTGACCCCAGAGTTTTTATTTGAACAAACTCGGTAGGTACACACTAGAAGATGTTTCAGTCTGTATAGCCAAGCTCAAGCTCTTTTAGATTGTTATTTGTTTTTACTATATACATATAAGGTACTGTGCCGTACCGTACAGATAATACAGGAGTACTTGTTCATGTTGAGAGTGGCTTCCTTGGTCACATAAATGATGCACAGCAGTATCAATGGTAGGATACTACGTCATCGCGCACCTGCTGAATGCTCCCACTTTGACCATCTTTTCGTCGACTCGAAGGTAAAATGCAATTTTATTATAAGAAAACATAAGAGTATTAAAAAATCATGGCTATAGTACTTGAATTATTTGTAAAAATGTTTATAAATTTATTACCTGGTTTAGGCCTGAAAACGGGATAAGTGTTTTTCTCTGAATGCTCCCACTCGGACTTTTCCCGAAACATAAAATAAGGTTGAAACCCTTATTGAAAATTATCTTTAAAGCAACACGCCTCCATATTAATGCTAATTTTCATTAAGAATTTTGAAAATGTATTTGAATGTGTAATATTGTGAAGAAACCAAAAGGAAGCAATTTATACATTATCAATGGCACTTACAAACCACGTTAATTACCAAAACGTTGTCAAAATATGCATAAATAGCCTTTACTGCGTTAGTAACGCAGTAGAAATGTAGTTGTAAATACTGAAAACTTAGTCATTAATCGCACATAATATGAAAAATATTATTTGAATCTGAAAACTTTTTACTTTTCCTAACATCTTAGTACATTTTTCTCAAGTTGATTTTATTGAAATATTTTGACACTTGAGGCTTGTAGCTTTAACGTACCGGAGCATAAACCGAGTCATGTTTACCCATTATTCTATACTAGTTTCAAATACTTCTATTCAGAAGCCAGTTTTTCTTAATTCTTTTTATAAAAATGGAAAATGCTCCCACTTGGACTCAACTTCAGAGATGCTCCCACTCGGACCTAAATCTATACAAATTTTGAAAGCACATTGCTGTGTTAAGATATTATTATTTTTTCAAAATATCTTTATATTCACTTGTTACCTTTGGTTATTTTGCATCCTAAATAAAAGATTACAAATCCAAATAGGCTTGGGTTCACATATAGATTTATTAATAGTTCACTGTGTTACTATGTTGATAAACAAATAAATATAAATAAACACTGTATCACTCTTAAAATGTCTCAAACCATAAATTCCTGCACTTTGCTTCCACTTTTATCAACAGTCAACTAGAGTACTTAGTTAACAAGTCCAGCACACTGAAAACATACAAAATGTCACTAAATGCCTATTCACTTAATGTCTCATCTTTGCAGGGTTATCTCCCTCTAATTCACAATATATAATGTTAAAAACACATTAAATCATAATGATCAATAGTTCACATTTGATACTTATTATTGAGTTGTTCTAGTGGCTTTATCTTAACCCTTAACAATAATATCAAGTTACATTAAAATATATTATAGTTACATTACATACATACAATAAATGGCCAGTTAAAAGTTACAGCAATAACTTACACATAATAATACACAATTATAATATATAATGATGACTTACCAATTTGTGGAATTGTATGCTTTAAACAATATCAAATCACATGAATCAAACCATCAATTACTTAACTCCATTCAACACTTCATTCACACAGTGACTGGGTGCTGCAAATTATCAAATACAGAATGCATATCATTAAGAACAATGTGCATGACAGAAAGAGTTAAGTGAAGTTAAAAAGGAATGCTATTTCTGAGCCATCTCAATTCTTTACTCAATTCTAAATACATGAAAATCATGAATTTACTTCTCAAATAAATATACGCTGTTTACAGGAAATACAGAAGTTATTGCCCAACAATAAACTTTAAAATATACCATAATACGTATTCCAAATCCTAAAAACAAATAAAACAAATCATAAGCCCAATTATTCTTTATTGAAAATACTTTTCAACTCCCGCAAAAATCATCAAACTAAACACATTTGGAGGGAAAATTAAAGCGATCATCTGATTGGTTAAAAATACAATTAAAAATAATAATCCAATGGAAGTAACTGGAATCAACCCAACTGTATTTAAAGCACGAAAAAATGACCCTGTTACACACGTTCATATTTTCATATAATCAGTAAGAGTTCAATGAAACAGCATTTTTAAAATACGATACTAATATTGAGATCACTAAACAGTATCGTAAATATGTCTTCTTAGAGGATCAGTTATCGGCCTAAGAATAAGAAAGAAAAGGTTGTGTTGAAACAATTCCTCATTAAATAGAGTCGCTGAAATAAGAAACAAATTGATTATACATTTGAAAAAAAATAATAACGTTTTGTTTTGCAGAAAGTATTTGTGTTTGTGACCAGTATGGGAAAAGGTATAAACCACATTGGGACGTAAAGAAGCACATGGTAGGATATCTTGGCACGGCATAGCTGGAGCAAATATTTTAGATACCAACTGTGGATACATCTCAGTGAGGAGGAATACTCTAGAGAACACAAGAATAATAGTTCTTTGAAGCATGTCTCTGTTTGAAGTAATTGTCTTTTGTTCAGTTTCTGCGTTAATTTTTGGACAATGTGTCATAAAGGATCAATTCATCTGAAACATCACTCAATAAAGTAAAATACCGCATACAAGAATGACAACTCTCCGGTTTTGGAGTTATTGCTCGTGGTATTCACTATGATTAGTTTGCAAGGACCATACCTCTAAAGGTATTTAATATATAAACTTGAAACTTTATATTGAACATGTTTAATAAAAGTGAATAGCAGAGCATAAGGACCAGAAGTGTTCACTTAATGCTTCTTTGTTGTTTTTTCTTTGTTTTTTTTTCATGGGAGTGTTATTTTTGTCATGATTTATTATGTCTAGGCTATAACTTTTCATTAATTTTCACGAGTGTCATAACTTGTATGGTCCAAAAAGCATTATTTGTAAAGATAATACCGATTTTTCATTTCATAAAGGAAGGTAATAAGAAATATATTTTCTGTTAAGTGTAAGTTGAATTCTTCAATAAGAAATGAATGCATACATGACTGTATAATTTAATGATTACATATAATGTGGACAAGTATTTGCAGTACGTATTTTACATATTCCTTTATGTTTGAAAATTGCTTTAGTAGCATAATATACATATATATAAAATTTCAATTGGTAACACCTGAAATATAACTTACAGGATCTTTAATTACCAAGATATGGTAAAGACTGTGATAAAGAAATAACCATGATCTTTGTTTTCTTTGGTACTAAACAATGTATAATGACTTCTTTATAAAATATCACCATTTTTTTAACATCTAAACAAAACTTTATTCTTGAAATCCAAACTGTCCATTTAAAGTCTTATGGTCCTAGCTTTGTTGTTGGCAATTATTTTGAATTATCCCTTCGGATCCAACACAAGCCAAGTGAACCTTTTTGTATAGTGATCCTGTCAGTTGAAACTTTGCCATGGCACCTTGTTCCTGCCCAACGACGTCATTCTTCAGAATCAAAGAAGTGATCTCTGTAAAAAAGAAGGAAAAAGTTAATGTTGCCAAACACATATTAGTTTTTGACAAAATGGTGTAAAAATCGGAGAATAATCCATAAAAGCTTAACACAGCAATGTGCTTTCGAAATGTATATATTTGGGTCCGAGTGGGAGCATCTCTTAAATCGAGTCCGAGTGGGAGCATTTTCCATTTTTATAAAAAAAACTTTAAAAAACTGACTTTTAAATAGAAATATTTGAAACTAATCTAGAGAAATGTATAAACATGACTCGGTTTATATACAACAATTTTCACAAGTACTATAGCCATTCTTTGGTGCGCTACATGATTTTTTGATACTCTTACGTTTTCTTGTAATAAAATTGTATTTTACCTTCGAGTCGACGAAAAAATGGTCCAAGTGGGAGCATTCGGCAGGTGCGCGATGACGTAGTAATCTACCATTGAGTATGCACTGATGGCAAATATTGGTCCAGGAGATGAACTTGATTTCCCCCATGAGTTAAACACACTATGAGATAAGATATATCCTAACAGGTATCCGATCATTACAGAATATTCGTCTGCCCAACTGTCGCGAAAACGGGGACAAGAGCTACGAAAATGTAGATAATATAATAGGTATGTAATCATACAGGGTGACTATCGAACATGCAATTACCCAACTCGAGTCTTACCGTGCTATAAGCTCGGTGTGGAGACATTCAAGATAAAGAGAATAAGAATCCATAAAGAAAGTCAAACACGGCAAAATGGAAAATGTTGCAGGCTCGGTTTGATTGAACCTGTTCATAGATGGTACTGGAACGTCCAAGTTACCGTCCACGCCCCCTAGTACCGGCTTAAGCAGAATTCAACATTTAACATGAACTGGTACATTTTTGAAAATTGAAACATCCGCAGATGTGTTCATATGGCGGTTATCTTGGAACCTTCAATGTAGCACATGCCATTCCATGAAAAGCGGCATATGATCCCCAAGTAAACAAGAGCTGTCCGTAAGACAGCGCGCTCGACTTTTTTATTGCTTGCCAATAAAAAAAGTTTTTGCAGTAAAAGGCAATACAAGAATCTCTGTATTTTTAAAGTGAACAATGGCCATGAGCATTAAGATATTTAGTGAAGAATTATTTTATTATGACATAATTTATGGTAAAGTGAACAAGTGGATAGGAATGAATTTTTTTAGATTTTTTAAGTTTTTTAGTGCTTGCCTATAATACAAAACATTGACAGTTAAGGGCCATAATTCAAATAAAATCTTTGACAGAATTACCTTCTCCTGGACATGTTTGGGAATCATGATTGTAAACAAGTATTCCAACTTTCAAATTAATATCTCAAACAGTTCAGTCAAAAAGTGGACTGGTACTAAAAACTTAACCAAGATTCTAAGTCGATAAAAGGCCTTAATTTTTAAAACAAATCCTTGACAGAGTTACCTTCTCTTGCGTACAGATGGGGGTAATGATGTGAAATAGCATTAAAAGTTTCAAAGCAATATCTCAAAGGGTTAAGGCAATAAGTGGATTTTACCCATATTCAATGTATTTTCTAAGTCAAAAAGGGGCATAATTCTGTCAAAAACCTTGACAGAGTTATGTCCTCTTGTCTGTTGATGAAGGTCGTGATGTTAAACAAGTATGGTCAGTTTCAAAGCAATACCTCCAATGGTTTTGAAATAAAGTGAGGTGGTACAAAAAACTTAACCAAGCTCAATACACTTTCTAAGTCAAAAAAGGGCCATAATTCTGTCAAAAACCTTGACAGAGTTATGTACTCTTGTCTGTAGATGGAGGTTATGATGGTGAACAAGTATGGTAAGTTTCAAAGCCATACTTGTAATACTTCTGAAATAAAGTGGGGTGGTACGAAAAACTTAACCAAGGTGTGACGCCAACGCCGACGCCGACGCCGGGGCGAGTAGGATAGCTCCCCTTTTCATAGAAAAGTCGAGCTAAAAATGCGTGTGCCCTAAACGAGAAAACAATGGGCGGAACTAAATAAAATGGAATTTTGAAAGGGGATCAGAGGTTATGAAGCCTGCATATCACAGATAATACGTAATAACTTGAAAACTACTAGTTGGAATTCAAACAACTTCAAACAATGGTCAAGCACAATTAAAGGAAGTGCAGTACACAAGAACCATAACTCTATCTAAATAATTACAGAGTTATTGCCCATTGTTACTCTTCCATTGTGTTTTTCTCGTCCAGAGCATAACTTGAAAACTCATAGTTGGAATTTAATACAATTTCATACAATTGTAAAGTATATTTTTAGAAAGCACAGTGCACTGAAACCATAACTCTTTATTGTCCAGTTCATAACTTGAAAATTAATAGTTGGAATTCAAAGAAACTTCATACAATGGTCAAGGACAGTGAGATTAAGTGCTGTGCACAAGAACCATAACTCTATTTGGACTAGTTACAGTTATTGCACTTTGTTACTTTTTTGTCTAGTGCATAATTTTGAAACTAGTACATGTAGTTGGAATTCAAAACAACTTCATACTATATTCAAGCGTAAAGAGAGGAAGTGCAGTATACAATAACCACAACTCCATCTTCAGTATTTGTAGAGTTATTGCCCTTTGTTCCTTTTACTTGTTGTGTGCATTAGAATTCAAAGAAACTTCATTCAATGGTCAAGCGCAATGAAAGGAAGTGCAGTGCTCAAGAAGTAAATCAATAAAACTTCATCAATGGTCAACCACATTGAAAGGAAATGCAACGTACAAGAACCACATCTATCTTTAATTGCCCACAACCATAGCTTTATTTCAGTTCTTTTGCAAGGTATTCTGTTACTGGTAACTTCCTTATTTCCGAAGCAGTCTTGCGGGGTTATTAATCACATTTATTGATAGTTCTAGTTTGGATTTAAGGGATTCCAAAAACACGTCAGTTGTCAAGGCAGTCAGTTTGAAATAGTAATGGACCAAGAACATAATCGTCGTTACATTCTTTTCATTCCAGGCCTAAGAAAAAACTTTCAAGGTTGTCTGAAAGGGCGCAAAAGTGTCAAAGAACATATACAGCCTGATAGACATTGTTGATTTGTACACACGTTATCTTTCGTTGATTCCAACAGCTGGACCATTCTACAGCAAGCCTTTACATGGCGTTGATGAGAACAACAATGTGAAATTCAGTTCCAGCACTATATCTAACAATGATCTAAAGTCAATGATGAAATTTATTTTAAAGAAGCAGGCATTAATACAAATCCACGTAAGATTACCAACCATTCTGCAAGAGTCACGCTCTGAACAACAAAAACTTTACTGACAAAGCGGTTACTAGCCGCAGTAAGCATAGAAGTTATGCCGTCCATGTATCAAAGGGAACAGTTTGACATGATGAACAAAATAAGCGATGCTTCTTGAACCTGAGTTAAAAAGAACTACCGCGAGGCCATCTGCAAGTGTTACATCGCCAACTTCACATAACGCACAATACAATATGACTAGAAAAGACCTCGAGCTTGTCCCTCAGCCTCAGGTGAAGATCGAACACTTGGAGTCCGAACGTGCAGTCTGCAGCGAGACTTCAAATGATTTGATGATTAATGTTCCACATTGTGTGCAAAGAGTTGTTATTGTGAAAACGGATGGGAAGAAATTATCATTGACATATAATTTAAAACACATATATTATGATTAATAGGTGACAATTAATGTTATTATCTTAAAATATGAGTTTGAAAGTTAAAGTTTTAGTAAAAAAGCTAATGTTTTACAATTTGTAATCGAAATGTTGTTTTGAAAGTTTAATAAAGATTATATAAACATGTAAGCGTCTAAACTTACAGCTGATCTCTTGTGTATCCAATATCCCATGAATGTAAACAAAAAACCAATATTCCTGTAGCTCCGCCTCCAAGGCACACAAAAACAATATTTCTGTAGCTCCGTCTCCAAAGCACACATGCGGGATAGCGTCGGTTAATCAGTTCATTACATTTACCTGGTTAGTAGCACTGGTTGTTTAAAGCTTATTTACGAAAAATAAATTCTTTCAAAATTTGAAAAATACTGCCATCTCATTGGACAAAAATAATTTCAAACACTAATAATTGTTTTAACGATTCGTAAAATTAAAGAATGATATGAAGGCTTCATCGTACTTTTTTGCAGAGAAGAAATGTCAAAGACAAGGCGTCAAGTGAATTTTGGTCCTAAAAATATAGGACTTACCTCTGAAATATAGGACCATTTTCCCAGAAATATAGGAATATATAGGACAAGAAAAACAAAGAAATTCTGAACTTTAAAACTTCCTCCTCCACCCACTACACACTCCTTTTCTTTACAAGTTACAACAGGTTTAACAACTTTCAATACTTAAATAAAACTATGACAATTAATAAAGTAACATACTTGGAAAACTAACATTAATCAGTAAATGAAGCACTAGGCACTGTTCTGTATCTGTGTCCATTCATATGCCAAGATACTTACTTTTATCATAGTAGGTAACTGTTAAGCAGGAATACTAACTACATTGGCCTACTGTAACATACATTTGACAACCTGTTTGATTAAGATGTTTGTGTTGCAACAATAAAAGGTCAAATGCTGCTAAATTAATCACACTTATGCTTCTTGGAATGAGATGAATGTGGCATACTTCATTCCCCAAATGACTTCTGCATGTAATACATCTTTATTAGGTAAAGCATAAGTTAGTTTTGGTAAACCAACAGCAGTACCTGAGCTTCTTCCTGACCTGACCTTTCACTCTCTGCTGTGTTTGAAGATGCACTAGGCTGTACTTTGAATGTTAGTTTAGTCTGTTTTATTGAAAGAATTTACTCACTTAATTTCTCGTGTTGTGACCATTTCGCATGGTGAAGTATTTGATTAATTACACAGTACAATATTGTCACATTTGATCTCTATCTTAGAAAGGGTACACCTAACAATATGGTCTGAACTACCTTTAACACACCATGACTGTAACTTTTTTCAATTTGAATTTATTTCAGTTATTTCAGTTAGCCACTGTTCCTGAAACTTTTTTTTATCCATAGGCATGTTTACCCTTGTTAATGATATACTATGCTCATCCTTGAGTAAAAATTTTAATCACAGAAATTTATTGAAATCCATGAAACTTTAACTTGAATAAAAAAATGAATGAACCATGTACGGGAAGCTATCTATTCAACAGGTCAAGTTGACCTTTTCTTTAAAAAAACTATAGTTTGAAGAATTTTAAACATTGCATAATTATCTACTTTGTGTGAAGTCAAAACATGTTTATT